GACCACTAGGACCCACAGTTTTCTCTTCTATAAATGGAGCGTAGAAGTAGTGCCTACCTCCTAATGGTGTGGGTGTGTGTGTGTGTGTGTGTGTGTGTTGATCCACATAAACCCTGCTTCTAAGGGATTACACAATGCCTGGTTCTGGAAGTGCTCTCCGGTACGGCTGTCACTGCGTGCCTAGCCGCAGCCTAACCACCTCCCCAGGGCCTGCACCCGTTCACACTGCACTGTGAGCACTCTTACACGTGTCTGCAGAATGAGTGAGTGAGTGAGCAGATGACTGCTGTCATTTGTTGAATGCCAACTTTGTGCGAGATGCCTGCTGATGTGTTTTGCCAACTGTGAATCAGTTTACAAAGTCACAAATGGCATTAAAAATGGAATAGGGCAAAGAACATCAGCATCTCAGGACAAAAGGATCAGTGAAGTTTTATCTGTACGTGTGTCCTTACCTACACCGACATTGGTATTTCTTTCTCTCCGCTTATATCTGTGTCCATCTCTACATCTGCACTGATGTCAGGTCCATGTTGAAATCTGTGTTGATGGATCTGCATGTCCTTCTTCCACGTCTGCTAGTTTCAGATTCCACATTTCAGTGAGATCATGCAGTCCTGTCTTTCTCTGCAGGGCTTAGCATAAAGCCCTCCAGGCCCATCCGTGCTGTCAAAAATGGCTCTGGAGCCCGACTGCCTCCGTGTGACGATCACGTGTCACTCCCTCGCTGGTGGGCTGCCTCACCTGCCGTGCCTTCATTTTCTCAGGGGTTATACGTGTGAAATGAGGACCCCGGTACTTATCTATCTCATAAGGTTATCCCGCAGTTTGAATTACAACACATAAAGCCCTTATTATGTGTAACCTATTATATCTGGGGAACAATGAATGCTTGACATTGGATTGGGGGCAAAAAAAAACCCCAAAAAACATATGGAAGTCCATTCCTGACATATACCTTATTTATTCCAACCTGACAATGATTCTGTTGGGTGGATCTTTTGTCCTCTGTCAAGGGTTGGTCGACTGTGGCCCTGTGTCCAGTGTCTGTGGTCCTCAAGCAAAAATAAAAATTTTCAAATTCCAGCGTTCGTAGGTAAAGAGCTTTTGGAGAACACCATCACACTCATCCATGGATTGTCTGTGGCCCTCAGGCCGCAGTGGCGGAGCTGAGCGGTCGCGACAGAGAGCGTGTAGCAGGCAAAGCGGAAAATGTTCACCCTCCGGCCCTTTACAGAAAATGCTGGCGGGCCCCTGACCTATGCACAGAGGTCTGTAAAGACAGCGCACCCAAAGATGCACAGAGATTCAGGGGGACAGCGCGGCGCGCGCAAGACCAGAGCCACGCGTCAGAGCCAGGAGGGAGCTTCCAGCTCCGCGCCTGCAGCCCGGCGGGCTCAGCGCAGCTCCGAGCGCAACCCCCGCAGCCGGGCGAGGGCGTAGCGGGCTGCCGCGCGGACCTCGCGGTTTCGAAGGCTGTAGATGAGTGGGTTCAGGACAGGCGTGACGACCAGATAGAAGGCAGCCACCAGCTTGTGGCGCCTGGCGGGGAGGGCGCTGGAGCCCCGCGGGCGCAGGTACATGGCGGTCACCGTGCCGTAGAAGAGCCCCACCACGGCCAGGTGGGAGCCGCAGGTGGACAGCGCCTTGAGGCGGCTCTCGGCGGACGGCAGCTTGCCCACGGCCGCCAGAATCAAGGCGTAGGAGGCGAGGATGAAGGTCAAAGGCACCAAGAGGATGGGCGTGCCCAGGCTGTAGACCAGCAGCTGGTTGGCGGAGGTGTCCGCACACGCGGTCCTCGGCACAGCGGGCAGCTCGCAGAAGAAGCGGTCGACGGCCGGCCGCCCGGGGCAGAAGCGCAGGCGCAGCGCGGCCGCGGCGTTGGGCGCCGACAGCAC